GCTCTCCAAGCCAGATAAGGTCTGTGACTATAAATCCTCCCTTGAAAGACTTTGCTGGATGTGAATGAGCAGAATTCACAATAAATTAATAAAAGAGGTTTTTGTCGGGACAAGGAGTTGCTTCACGCTCTTGGGATGCCTAGGTCAGAACACCTTGATTAGTTTCCATCCATTGTTTCTTGCCCTGCCTTCAGGTGCTATGGAAAATAAGTTGACTCCCCTCTTCTTTGTGGCAACCTCTCAAACTGGTATATTCAGGAATCTTCTTCAATACTCAAGTTCAAAGACGTGAATGTTTTTTCTAGCCTGGGGTCTTTAAAGTCCAAATTTCACATCAGTAAAGAAAATACCATGCCTTGTACAATTCTGATCTTTGCAGGCATAGGACACATCGTGGCATTTTAATATCTTTTCCAAGGCCATCATGGATGCTGTAGGAAATGTCAATCTGTAATGTATTTCTTGACTGTTTGTTCCATAGGTTCTTGATTCCTTATAAATAAAGAATCATTAAAAAAAATCCTTATTCATAAATACTTGAAATATTGATTAGGTGTTGAACATATGTCTTTTAGAGAATGAAAGAGACAGAAATACATAGCATATATTTTTCCTCTAACTACCATCGTTTCAGAAAATACCTGAGTATGTTGAATTCACATCTAGATAAAGTGGCAACACTAATTTAAAAGAAAAATAAAGTTCTGCATTCAAATATATGTAGATATTTATGGGACAGATCAAATTTCAAACTCAATATTGTTAGGATTAGGGATTAAAATAAAATGCGTTTGGAAACATGTGTTTTCACATCATCCAATGTGTACTGCTTTGCAGCTCAGATTCAAAAGTACAGAAATTTCGTTCACAATCTTTTTTTGGCACTGAAATTGAGACGCATGAAAAAATAATGATGTAAGCCTATCATATTTTATATCACGACATAAATCAGGCCTGAAGTGAACTGTTTCTGGACTCCGAATATCAGCTTCTTGTATATATTCAATGCCGTGTCTGCTTTTTTTGTTATTAATACTGTCACTGTGTTTTCTGAGTAACAGTATTTGTTTATTCATTGACATATTCAGAGTTGGTGATCTTTGCATAGTTGGTAATATATCATAGACAGAAAATTTAAACCCAGATAATGTTTTTTCTTATTTCCAGGTGTACCAGTGATGTCCCATGTTCTCCAAGGAGAAAAAGTGTGGAATGAGGTAGAAAACAGTATCCTTCATGTTACCACTTTTAGTGTTGTTTTATTTAACACAAAGTGTACCTGTTGTGGGCTGCTGGTGATCAGCAGAACTGGCAGTAGAGTTGGACAGTGAGGAGGAACATGGGCCAGTCCCTGAGGGCTGAGGAAAGCTCAGACGAGGGCTCTACGTCGGAGGCAGAGAGGGAGTTAGACAGCAGTGAGGCAGAGGAACCGCTGGAGCCTGTTCCCAGTGTGCGCATGCGC